TTTTTTTGTATATACATATATATATATATATTTGTTGTATCCAAGGGTGAGTCCTTGCACATCGCGTGTGCGGATATGGATATGGATATGGTTATGGAGGGTGGCCCCTTTGGTCCCAGTTGACCCATAAATACGCACGTACGACCCCCGTGACCCGGCATGTGACCCCGCTGACCCCCGTGAACTGCCATGTGACAATGCAGCTGCACACAGGCCACACTGACCGCAAGTGATATGCTCCAGTTTAATTACACTGCACTAATCAGCAAATTGCGGCAAACTGATGGCAACAGTCATGCAAAGCGTGCTGCGGTTCTCGCGCTGCAAACGACAGTTTGCTGTGCTATCCCTAGCCCGTAATTGGCCAAAAAGCATTTGTATGGTTGGCCAAATTGCTAGCATGCCAGTTCTCGCCATTGAAGTCCCCATCTCCGCAAAGTTTCCACTCGTTTTGCACCAGAATACAACCCTCTTATTATATATATTGGCTGAAGCCAAGGTCTTGAATAAGCATTTCTTATAAGAATCAGTATTAGTAGTGTTAGTTATTTATCAATTTTAAAAGATTATATCCTTCAACATTTTCCAAGTGGTTCAGAAAAATGTAGATAACAGTTACTTAATATTTGTTTTTTTTTTTTATTCTTTTGATTTTAGAGCGCCACAACTATTCCTACGTTTAAAATGTATTTATATAAAACTAAGTTGGCGAAACCCTAAAAAAAACCAAAAGTAACTTTTCTGCATTATTTAGACTTCAAACTGGTTTAGAAGTTTGTGGCGAAATTAATTTACAACAAACGAAAAGTTGAAAAATTGATTAGTACAGTTGCATCGAAGGGTTTTCCCCGTTATTAAACCATCCAGGGGCATTGCACTAGCAGCGAGGAAAGCTTGCAGCTAGCTAAAGGCAAATTTTCACCCATTTTCCTCCCATTTTCCTGCCATTTTCCCCTCCGCTGTGTAATTTTAATGAAAGTGCACTGAAGTTGACTGGTTTCTGTGCAGCATCCGTGGCCGCTCATGTGCTACTATCCCTAGTCCAATGTTATTTACGCTCAATTAAGTTGCTGCACATCCCCCCATAGGCACTTTCCATCTGGATTTTACCCATTTTTCCCCATTTCATCGCTTTTCCGCAGTAAGAGCTACTTATATGCAACTATAGCTGTGAACAAATTGCATTTGCAGTCAATTTCTGCTTCTCAGTCTGTTGGCTTTGTTTGACAACGGCACGCCCACCGCCACCGCCCATTTCGTAATGAAATACAACTGCGGTTGAATTACTTGTTGATAAAGAATTCTTTTTAATTAAATATATTTTCCGTCATACATTATTTATGTATTTATGTATACAGAGTATTGCTTTAAATTTCATCATGTCATAAAATCTATACAACATAATTTGGGGTGAATTTCAAGAGAAATTATTTTTCAAGGGGCAGTGCTATTTTTTTGGCCGCAGCTGTGGAATTTGACTAAAAGCGCCAGTCACAAGCCATTAAGCTGCCATTGTTTTGGACTGGCCCCTAAAAATCTGGCCATACAAATACAATAAAAGGCAAATTTCACCATCTAGCCCTTACCCCTATATATTTTGCAGCCATCTGAAAAAGTTAACGCTTGATTTCTGCACTAAAAACCAGAAGTTTGCCATTCTTTTGGGTCATTAGTTGGTAATTTATCAAAGTCATGAATTTATATTATATACCCGCTGCCAGCCACGCCCCCACTCCCTCGAAGAGCCACCGCCCCCCGGCAGCTGCACAGTGCAGATGCAAAGTTTTCAATGCGGCAGCTGTCATAAAGGCAAATGGGAAAAGCAGGAAGCCAAGTAAAGTCAAGTCAAGTCAAGTCAAGTCAAGTCGACTAAAGTCAACTCAAGGCGGGGCAATAAAATATGAAGAGCCCGACCAGAATCGGAAAAGTGTTGCTGGCTGGCTGGTTGGGGCCCCCAAAGTAATGGGTCTCCATTTTGTCGTCATTCAATTAGTCAAATTTGTAGCGCGCTTCTGATTAAGATTCGCCAGCAGCGTGAATAGTTTTTCCCATTTAATGGACCATTAAATGCGAACAGTCGAGGGCGGAATCAAGTTGAGAGGACTCTTTTGAATGAGGAGTGAAGTGCTGAGTCGTACGCAGAGAAATTTTAATTAATAACTCTGCATGTTTTTATTGATTAAATAATATTCATTTATTTCAAAGTAAGCCATTTGCCGTTTTGATTATGTATATCTATGAACCTTAATTTTAAAATCAAATGCTCAATATTTATTTTAGAACATATTAATAAATTTTTATAATATCCTGAAAGAAAATTATATGAAAATGTTTTCTAATATTTACAGAATATTTACAGAATTTTGATTTATCTTTATTCTAATGTTTATTAAATTGTGGCTCCGTTGCAAAATATCTCAAATAGAAGATCAGCAACATTTAGAGTATTTTAAATATTAAATATTTTTAAACACATATGAATTTTATATAAAAAATAAAAAAATATGTGGACAAGATTAAACAATCTACATTTTGTATGATTATTTAACATTGAAATTAAAAGATTAATTTGAAAATCATCATATGTATATCTATGAAGCTCTATAATATTTTAAAGCTAAAAAATTTTAAAAGACTTCTAAGAAATATATTTAAAAAAAAACATATCGCAGCCAAAGATTTTTTTTTGGAGCCAAATAAATAATAATTAAATCTTTAGTCAGACTCCAGTGCTTTTTTCGCGCTGTGCAGCTTGGGTGAGTTATGTCCATGAGCTGAACCCGGCCGAATGACAGTCCTTTTGGAGTGCCCCATCCTGGCCATTTGTGTTGCTCATTTCGGTCGCATGCCCTGCACTTGACAATGCAATTTGCGGCAGATTTCAGATTCCAGACTGTAGACTGTAGACTGCAGGCTGCAGGCTGTAGATTGCCGCCATGAATCGCCAGCTTTTTGCCACAGGTTCCATCTCGACATTCATTGCATTAGTTGGCGAGCTTAGTTCTTGGCCAGCAGAGCAATTAGGTAGACCCCAGTTTCAGTTTCAGCTTCAGATTCAGTCCTGTGCAAATGCAAATGCCATAGAGGAACTCGCACGGTTCATTAATGCAAAAATATGCGTAAAGTTTTTCGGCCCGCATTCGCACTCGTGGCCAGGAATTCCTGGCATCCTCTGTATGGCAAAACTTTCTGGATATGAATGCGGATGGACTTCGCTTCCTGGCTACCCAATTGTATCGAAAGCGGGAAAATTCAAAGAGCCAATGGTAATTCAAGTTTGACCTGGGGATTTATGAACACGATTGTCCCACGGGCAGTGTTCTTTATTCTGCCAGGAAATTTAAGTTCTCACAAATGTTGGACTTTATTCTATGTGGTTTTTAAGCGAGTTTTTTTGCATTTATCGTGTTAAATATTTATGTATTATTTATGAGGTGTGTTAAAACTTAAGAAATATATGCTTAACAGTCCTTTGAATAAATATTTTGTTACTTACATTCAAAATCTTTAAAAATACATATATATATTATACTTGTTTATAGAAGTACTTTACTGACATCGTTGATAAAGAATAGTTCAATTATAAGAAATCTAAAAATACATTGAATATTAATAAGTTTCTCAACCTTCGATTTTAACCAGAAAATGCAAATTAAATTAAGCTTAAATATAAGAAAAAAAGTTTTAAGCTGTTTTTGTATAAGGCTTTGCTTATAAAGAAATTTAACTAAAACCACTGCGCATACGCATCAGTCAACTGTCAACTAATAATGCTTTTAGAGACTACTTCGAATATATATCTTCCTAGTGATAGGCTACATTCCACTCCAATATTTTCACGCTTATTAGAAATGATTTAATAATATGACGTATACGCCCCTTGCAACAATGGTATGAAACATTGTCATTTGTAGGGTTCTTTCAAATAATTCCATTGAAACGAACCTTTTTTGGACAGCTAATGAAATACGAATCACATTTGGTGATTGCCCTAGAACCAAGTGGCTTAGACTGCTCCAATATATGAGTTCATGACAACGATGGTGATGGCGGTGATCAGGTCGTTTCCCCTCTAGCTTTCGGCTCCGCTTGTCTGATTCATTTAATTATGATTTCCGGTGTCGAGGCGAACTGAGTGCCGAAAGCCGAGCACCGGATCCTGCGAAAGGATGGGTGGGCCCCGCACACGTGTCCATTATTACAGCTACTTGATTGCCTAGTAAGACCTTTTACAAAAAAAAATAACCTGTCAAAAATAGTCTAGGATATGTGGAACACTGTTTATGAAATACTCTTGGCAGTTCCTACTTTTCATTATTTTTTTTTTACACAGCAATTAAGCTGTTGCATCACTTTTACTTTAAAACACAAAACATTTAATTTATATATGTTTTAAAAAAAAAATTCATTAAGCAAGAAACTAACATTTAAGTGGTATATAAACAGTTTAAAATTCATCTTAGTCAAAACCATATTTCAGCATTCTAACCGCTGAAGATGTGGCTTAAGACAAGTTTTATTTTTCAGCTGCGCCCAGATGGATTATGATTGCTGGCTTGGCCTCCAAAGTTGGCTGCAGCTCGGGCATAATGTATTTGGGGGGGTATGGGTATATCAACAACCATTCATCAACTCCCGACAAGCAACAATTTTCCCCTACCGCCCGGATATCTATCCTTTTACAATTTGCTTGTATTAGAAACTCATTTCCGTTTGTAATTGAGTCGCTGCCGCCAGCTGGTGCATGTGGTGTGTTGTAGTGAAGTAGTTGGTGGTGTCATTTCCATTTTCCATGCGCCCCACATTATGCCGATGGTTATGCAAATTAATGGTCATGCCAGCTGCCCTGTTCGGTTCGGTTCGGTTTGGTTCGGTTTTTGGCCTTCTGGTTAGGAGTTCTGCCCTTCTGGCATTTTACAATCCTATCATCCTGGCATCCTGTACTCAGATGAATTGATTTGCCCAACTGAACTGTGTGTGTTTTCCGCTCCTTGTTGCAGAACCATCGCCGCTGTATGATAACAATCATTATCATGAGGAGTGCCTGCGCTGCAATTCCTGCGGGCTGAACTTAACTGGGCCCAACCAGAAACGGGCCAGGAGATTCAAGGTAAGTGCAGTTCAAATTGCGATTAAAATTAACACTCTTCGACAAACATTTGTTTCTCTTTTTCGCGTTTATAAATTTAAGAAAAAAGAAATTAAATAAATAAAAAATAAATTAATGATCTTTGTGTAAGGAAACTATATATCATGTCACGTAAAAATATATCAGATAATGATAAAATAATAAGGAATGAGGAAAGGGAAGGCAAAAATTGCAGAAATAATTGCCAATTCGGATGGCGCAATATTTATTTGAAATGCATTCGCCCACTTTGGGCCCATAAAGGCGAACTCATTGCGAATGACGGATGACCGGCAAGTGACTTAATCAAAATTACAAATGAGCCGTCAGGCGGAGCACAAGCAAAATAAAGTGGAGCCCGGAATAAATAATATACGGGGGAATTCAGACAGCCATCCAGCGAAAATCTCTCTCTAATTCTAATTTTGTTCGTTTTTTTTTTTTTTTTGTTTGCTTAGAACCAGATCCTGTGCGACCTGCATTTCGCGGACGTGGCCCTAATGGAGTGCTCCGATTTCATGCAGCAGCTGCGGAGCTTCAAGCCGCAATCTTTGGGCTGCGCGGTGGCCAGGCGCAAAAGTTCCACGACGCTGATATTCCCGCTGCCACCGCAAGCTTGCTCAGGTATGTACCAAACACTGTACACACATGTGTGTGGAATATACGGCAGTCGATGGGCACATTTCACGGGTGTTATGGCCAAATCGAGACTGGGACTGAACTCAGTCCAGCACATACCCTGGTAATTTAGTTGTGCGAGCATACTCGGCGGCCTATATTCAGTTTACCTTTACTTTAGGACCGATTTCTCAACATACCTTTACTTGAAAAGTTGTATCTAACAGTTTCTGTAATGATTTAAAGTCACATAAAGTTATGTTAAGGAAAATAAACATATCATTGAGAAAACGATTTTGTGTTTCCCAAAAAGTTTTAATTCTTGTTATTTTTTTTGATTTCTTAGATTACAAAATATAGACTAAGCATGACATTGAGATATCGGCCCTTAATAATTTTAGAAAGGACAGACCAACACATTATATAGCTTTAATTCATATTGATTTAAACATTGTTACCATATTGTCTTAAATGTTATTATTGTCTAAATAAGGATTAATTTAAGAAATATATGCCAGTTAAATTTAGAATAAAGGCCAAAAAGTTGTTATTTTGTAAAGAGTACCTGTACGTTGGTACAAAGGGATATATCCCATTCGAATACGCAAAAAACCCTTCCATGGCAGAAAGTTCTTTTTTTTGGCTGTGTGTGTGCGTGGCGTCATCATTATAATTCAAATGAGATTTGCTCGCACAGCAATCTACTCACCCACACACACACACACACGCACGCACAACCACTCCCGCACACAGACACGGTGAAAGCAGAGAAAGGGGAGAATGCTGAGAAAGGGAAGAAAGAGAGGCGAGAGCGCCACGTCTACAAGTTGGAGAATGTTTGGCATTTTGCATAATAAAGTTGTTCAAACATATTTGACGTCGGCCTGCGCACTCACACACTCGCACACCCACACGCACACACAGACAGATAGAACCGCCATTTTTCGCTGACATAAACTTTCAATTCGGTTTTCATTTTACTTTATTTCCTTTCGTTTTTTTTTATATTTTTTTTTTCGGCGCTCGCAAACGATTTAATTAAAATCCTAAAAAAAAAACAGGCAGAAAGCGAGCGAATGAAATACGGAACATTTCTTAACATTATTTATCAGTTCTCTTATATGACCCGCGTCTATGGCTGAATGCGCGAGCAGGAATACAAAGTTTATTAACTGGATTTTTATTGCGAAACTTTTCGCCCAACACTCAGACCCCGTTTGGCGTCCAATTTAATTACAACATGCCGAAATAAACAAAACGCGAAAGCCGAAATCGGTTAAATATTATTGACGATGATGATGTGGATGGAATTAACTTGGCATCCGGCAGTCGCCGTAATTCTGGATTTTATTCAATTATTTCACGACCAATTAGGGAATATCCGCCTTTGGAATTCTGAACCGAATGACACATTCAAAAATAACCAATTAAAAAGCAACAACATTTCCAGATCGTTTAAAAAAAAAATTATTACACAATTATCTGTTATTTTGCTTCCGTAAGAAATTAAATAAATGTAGACTGAAATCTTACAAAACAAGTTACGCATTTTGTACAAAAAGAAACCACAAGTAAGAATTCGCAAGGCACTTAATACCCTTTGGTTTAAGCCGAAATAATTGCCTTTTAAAAATGCTCAACACAAAAATATTTGTTGGTTTTATGCAATTATTTTAACACAACAGCATCAAGAAGTTCAATTCTTTAAAAATGCACAAAAGGCTTTCAAAGGGTTTTAAAATGGTTGCTGAAACATGCCACATTTGAGCAAGAAACGATATGTATTTTTAATTTCTTTCATAAATATTTAATGGCAAAGACTCGCAGCAACCGCACCCCTTGAACATTTTATTTAGATTTCTTTGATGCAAGCTGCAAATATAAATGTACATAATATTAAAGCAATTTAAATTCGACAGAAATTAGAGAATATTTATAGCTAAATATTTTTAAAGTCAGGGCTCCAAATGAATTTTCGCACTGAACGCGATAAATGTAGATAGTTCAAATATTGTATTTGCTTGGCATTTTTTTCCACAATCTACCCACATCCGCATCCGCACACACACACGCATCCGCCTTTCCTATGCATATGTATTAGTGTTGAGCTGCGCTCATTTGAAGCGACATTAAGTGTGCACTCGAGTAAAGTGATTTGATGCGTGTCCCATTCGAGTGCAGCACTTGCTGCTTAGAATCCCATATTTTCCCATGAAAAGGAAAAACCCGATGCATCTTAAAAAAGAAAAAAGAAATAATGATGTGGAAAAGTGCTGCAGCAAACAATGATGCCTGCCCTTTTCACCTTTGGTATTTGGTATTTTTTTGTGTCACATTTTCTTTCGCTTCTATTTTCCCTATCCACAATAGTCGTTTTAATGTATGGATTGTTATTTAGTTTGGCAGGCAATAAATATAAATAAAAAAATAATAGCAAGCAACTTATTAAGTGATTGAAACTTCAGTTAACAAATAAAATTTCCCTCCTAAGAAGGCTCCTTAAAGTATGACTTCCATTTTCGGCCAAGATCAGGGGACTAGGGTCATCAAATAGATTAAATAAATACAGTAAATAAATCATTTAGTAACGTATACGCCACATGAGTCACGGAGCACACGTTTATGGCCTAAATCGCGCAACAGAGTTATAAACACGTATTATGTGTCATTCCAAATAGAAGCAAAAGCCCACGCTTAGATCCATGTGAGTACGTGACAATTAAATTTATGAAATACTATAGCCCGGCCGGAAAAGGCCAGAGAGGCGGAGGGGCGAGGCAAATCCAAATCCAAGTTGAAAAGTCAGTTCAAGAGGGCGCGTGACTGCTGCGAAAATGCTGGCAAGTTGGCCCATTAGCGGAAGTCGGCCAATACAATAATATCCTCGAAGCGAGCCTGGCCAAAAACCATGGATGTGGGCATTCTGCAAATGTATTTCCGAATGCGCACTAGCTCAGTTAATCGAAAAAGGACTTATATTTTCAATGATAGCTCTAATCGATCGAAATAAAATGTGTCCCTGCTAAAATGTTTAAACCGCTATAAAGCTGAAAAAATCAACAGTTTCTTTGAGCTGGATAATATATTATGAAAAATGCATTTTAATGATAATTAAAAAAACAAAATTTGATCAATCTCATATACTGTGTTTGTGTGTATCAACACCATTTCACGAAGTCGCTTACACACGAAAGTTGACTATGAATTTCGACCAAATGCGTGAAAGTTAATGACCCAAAAATTCTTGTCATTTAAGAATGAATGTAAAAGTTGCCATATTTTTAAAAACCAAAATTTGCAATCTCTTTTAACGAACAAAATTTCTGTTAAAGAAAACTCGAGTGTTGTCAAGATTTTCAATGAAAGGTATTTTAAATTAAGGGCCCAAAAATGTGATTAATGCCAGAGTGAATATAACAGGTGATGCATTTTTTACAAGCCTGCCTTTATGCCTGCCATATTCTCTATAGGGGTCCATCTAGGCATTCATTTGGGCCAATTTATGACTGGCAATAATCAGAGCCTTCGGCTTGGCGGCCCGTATATCTTCTATTATTCACTGCCTTGTCATCTGCTTTTGGCCATAAATTTAACCGTGAATTCGGGCACGCCCCCCGCCCACCTGGCCGGCCATTTACATTTTAATATGCATTATTAGCGGGATAATTGTTTGGGAATATTGCCCAAGAGTAGACGGCCGTAAAAACACGTCGCCTTCAGGTGAAGGCCCCCCTTCTATGCCCCTTCTACCTCAACCTTTCCCATCAACTTGTCACTTTGCCATTCCATTTTGGGGGTATTGGTGGGCTGGCCACACCCCCAACGCCAACGCCTGCGCCTTAATTGTCATTTGTGCCATAATAAATTCAAAAGGCCGCCATGAAAAAGGCAAAAATTGTCGCGCACTTTTAACGTTCATTTGTCAGCGCGGTTTCGGCTATGCTTTTTGCATAGGTTTCCCTCTCCATTTTAATATTTTAATATATCCTGGCACGCATTTTCTTCTCACTTGTTTGATGAAAAATGATTTTAATTTCGGCCTGCAATGTCGTTGTGTGGATTTTAAAAAATAAAGTTGTAATAGCCGCTCCCTTCGAGTCAAAATGGTAATTAATTAAGCCAGCCAATTGTTTTCCAACAAGTTTGAGCTTTAAGCTGTGAATGGCCATTCAATTGAAATTTTAATTACCATTACTTCCAGCGGTTTTGTTGCATAGCCCGATTTAGTAAGTTTGTTTTCTGTTTTTATAGATTTGTCATGAAAAAAAATATTTCTTAAGGGTATAATAAGACGTAAAGACAAACGAGTGACTGACTTGTACAGCTGGCAACTTATATTATTTATCCCTGGTCGATTTTAAAAAATCCCTGGTCAAGAAATTAATTTAACAATATCAACTTCAATAGTAATTCTATTGAGGTGTTCGAAAAGAAAATGTGTTGCACGATTTTTTTCCATTGTCACTAATTAAAAAATGTTGTCGCCATTTTAAAAGACATTGAATCGTTTCTTGACATTGGTCTCCTTTTGCTCAGGCCTCAAGACAAACCGAAGAAATAAATTCTAGCAATGCGAAAATCTGTTCTCTAATTGAAAAGCCATGTTAAAAAGGCATTGCATTGCACAATGCAGGCTTAAATTCAGTTTTTTCTGTCTCCCTGAGGCTCACTTTGCACTAATTGAACATGTATACTGGCATGGTTCAAAAACACCACAGGGCGTATACGCATTTTTAAAAACATGAGAAATTCCTGGGTCATCTTCCAGCTTGTTTTATTCCATCAAAGGATTCCTGGTAGCGTTAATTCTTGTATTTTTCAGTTGTTAAGTCGTTAAGAGCATAATAAAACCAAAAAAAAATATGAACAGCTTTGCTGCAACATGGTTGTTATCGAAAATAAAAAAAAAATCCATCAGTTTTCAAAAGAAAATTCGTTTGTGAGTGAAATCAATAACAAAAAAAATTGTCCCCTAAATAAGCATCAACTTAGTCAAAGAGATGTTTTAACCCTTTTATTTGGAGAAATGCTCTCAAAAATATTCGTTTGTCTGGACATGTGAAATTTCCATAAATAAAACTTAGAAACAAAGCTCACTATCTTAAGACAAGTTAGCATTTAATGAGTGACAACTGGAAAAGTCACAATACAGGCTCTGTCTCTGAGTTTTCCGAGCTTCATTCGTCAGTAATTGGAAAGAAGCATTGTCAATAGGACACTGGGCGTATACGCAATGTGAAACGAGCCTGTTGTGAGCAGTTTTTTTGTTGAAAGGAATGCACCGGATGACCGAATCAAAAGTCCCAAATTCCAAAGTCGCTTCTCTGCTCAAAGTAGATTGGCATAAATTTCTTTGGTCCTCTTCGAAACTGCAATGTTAAGCAAATTTGGTTTTGCCCATTGAAAGAAGGAAAATATGAGTGGGGAAAAATGCGAGTGGAAAATTGAAATGCTTGCTTACTATGCTTTACTGTGGCTTCTTTTGTCATTGAGTTCGTGCAGAACTTGAATTTCTGTTTAATTAAGTTGAAATTAGAATGCCGCAAGGAATCTGTCAATTAACTAGTTTCATAAATTGTAAATTGTCTATATGGAAAATGTATTTTGGCAATAAAATAATAAATATTCTTTATTTACAAAAGTCTGATTAATTAATTTCAAATGTATGTAAAAATAGTTTACTTTCAATGAGAATTTCTTTTTTTTTTGGCGAAGTCAATATGAAAAGTTAAAAAGCGAGCTTAAAGAACAGGATATCTATAGCTTATCAATTGGGTATTGGATTGTAGTATGTATATTTGACCGATATGGGCGTCGACCCTGAGCAGTTAGTCAGTACTGTCCTTGATGCGGCTAAGCTAAATGGAAAAACGCAAACTTTTGCGGCGCACACACATGCCGCACTTCAGTCAATAAGCAATTATTATCCAGCTGACGTGGTGATGTCCCGGGGTCAAAAGGTGGCACGTAGCCCGTGGCTGGCTGACACGTGGCCTCCAATTTAAGCCTCTTAAATGTACCGAAAAAGCAATTAAAATATAATCAATATGCTCCTGCAGCCCAGCCCAGCTGTCGATGGACAGCCATTGAGTTGTGGATGAGTTGCTGCTGGAATCGTTTGATATTGTCATCCCGTTTGGGCGGTGGTTCTTTCAGCGTTTTGGCATCGTCCACGTGGCGATAGTGCTGCAGCTGGCCAAGATCGGTGCTGACACCAAATGGACCACAGGCATCCCTCCATTCGAGGGCAAAATGATTGTGCAGAACGCGTACATAAGCTGTGTTGTGAAGGCATTTGACGGCCGAAGCGGGATCCAAGTGATCGGCAACTCGCACCAAATGCCTTAGCATATGGAAATGCTCCGGTATCCTCGCATCCACGGGCAGCTCCTTGGGGAAATACACGTTCTGAAAGCAATAGCCACTGCGGGCAGTGCAATTCACGTCCCTGGTCTGCAAGTCCACCAACAAATCCGGCCAATTTCGAGTCTCACCCAGCGGCATGATCACCTCGTCCACATCCACCACGGCCACAAAGTCGAAATCGTATAGACTTCGGTACAAACAGTCATTGTAGAGCAGCACTTCGATTAGATTCCTTCTCAATCTCGGATGCTCCTTGATCTCATTGGGTAGTTGGAATTTCCTCAGGTCCAGAAAGCCATCCGATGATCTGGTGTAGTAGGCCAATGTTCTCGAGATATTTGGGTGCAGTTCCCCTATATCATAGGCGGTAATCTTCCCAGCACCCAGTATTCTCATCAGTTCCAGCCATTCCACCAATCGATCGGACATATCGATGTCGGCAAAGCGCAAATACTTGACACAAACACCAGTTCGCAGAGGGCGATTTGGATCTGGTGGCTCTTCTGCCGGCGGTTGAAACACTTTCAGAGCATTTTGCGGCACGGCACAGCTGTTGCCAAAGACGAGGCTAACCAGCTGAGGAATCCTCGAGGATCCCACACGAAATCTGAGCATCGTAGGATATCCGGCACCCTCGAATTTGCCCCAATCCTCATACCAGGCCAACTTCGTCTCATGCAGAGGAGCCAATTCCGGCTTGGTGTCCCCATCGAACCACATCTGCAAGTGGGTGGGCGGATAGGGACCGGTGCAGGTGGTCACCATGCCCAGGATCATCACCTCGGGGATCTGGGGTCTGCGGTCATAGTAGGCCCCATATAGGTAGTAACTCAGGTTGCCATGGCGAGTGTGCTGGAAGTAGGGGTTCTGGAACCGCAGGTCCTCGAAGCGGGGATATGGCGCGCATTGGGCACTCTGGGCCCAGCCCTCGTCCTCGTTGCCCCGCAACAGGGCCTCCACATCCTGCTCATCGTCCTCCGGCCTTGAAGGTAGATTTTCCAGCTCCTTTTCCGCATCCAGCTTTGGGGGGCTTCCATGCAAGGCTGCGGCTTTGGAATAAAGACACGGTAATTATCAAAGTGCTCTACAAACTCCTTAAATAATATATATATAAAATAAACTAAAGTATTAAGCGAACAAATTTAAATTTATATATGCAAACTGTATACCACTATTAAAAAGCAAACCAATTAGAGTTTCAGGGAAATATAAGCCAAAATAACTCAAAAAATAGAGAAAAATCAATTCTATAAATCGAAGCAACCATAATTTGAACTTATTTTGGTAAAAAAGAATGGTGGCTGGAGTTATGAATGTAAATATAAAAAAAGTGTCAAAACAAATGTATTCACATTGTTTGTTTTTACGGGATAATTATTTGCAGATCAAATTTTTGTATAACTAAGATTTTTTTTAGTTTGTAAAATATTTCATGACCAAGAACAATCACTTTAAGATAGTGAACTTTTCGAACAACTTGGCAGTAATTAAGAAAATAGAAAACCTACCTTTGTGATGCAGGGGCGGGGGAAGGGGTGACTTATCATCGAAATAACGGGGGTTCTGGAGCGGTCCCGTTAACCGGAAGAGGAGAAAGAGGAACAGGAAGCCCACCAAAAATACCAGGGGCGTCCTTAAAGTTCGCAGCTGATTGTAGACCATCGCGAATTGCCACCAATCGGCCACTGAATCCAATTTTATTTTTGCTGTAGATTCTTAAACAATTCCAGTAAGTGCAACTACCAGTATTCTGGGGCCTATCACCCATGTAGTTACACAAATAACGAGCAGTCTTATACCTACAGCCATTGACAAATAATTAGCATCAACAGGCCAGCAATTCTTCTTTAAGCATAACTCTATTGCCACATTGTTAAACTAAATATTTTAAAAATGTACTAACTTTAATTCAATTAAATTATATTTTAGTGTATTAAATTAATTCTATTAATTAATTATTACTATTATTATAGTTTTCTCCTTACAACTTAAATAAGTTCAAGAAAAATTGACAAGGTAAAACAGTTTAAAATGAAGAAAATACATTAACACAGGTACAAATATTAAAGTGTTTTATCTCTCTTTTATATTTTCTCATTATTTTTATTAGCTGGCAAAATGTCCAAAATAACAAGGTTTTATTCATATAAATTTGTCAAAAGCTTACCAAATACGCAGTGTTGTGAGTACTTACACAGCTGTTTTAACGCAAAACAATAGTTGCACACAAATTCGCGTGGAAACGCAATTTGTAAGACAAACAGCAAGGTATTTACAATGCAATGCGTAAACTATGTCAGTTTTTGACCTATTTAAATAGATAGTTCCTTTTTTTGTAAGACATTTTCACAGTCGGTGAATAAAATGCATTATATTTTGAATTAAGTCAATAAAACAAAATGTTTTATTTAATCTTAGATAAAGAAATAGGAAAGAAAAAAAAATTCTTAGTAATGTTACGTTAATTGTTTCAAAAAGAACCGCAATTCCGGTGGCGCTATTTAGCTGACAATGGCTGTTTATGTCTAACAAGGTTAGATAGCAACTATCTTATCATACATAGTTATTTTGTAACATATAAGCGCTTGTACTTTCTCTTTTTGGCATCAGCAGTTATCTTTGGCAAAACGTGATAAACGAATATCAATATGATTTTTAATTAATTTCAATTCAGGGCGTATTACTACTTTGATAAGGATTATTTTTGCCCTTATTTACTAAGTGAAACAAAAACAGTGATATTAATGCTAACGGCGGGAAAAAACAATGACAAAACATTTTATTGTCTATAAAAAAAGGCTATTTACATTTGCTCTAATATGCAAAACAGTAATAATAAAATGTCCTTTTTTAGAAATATGTTCACATTTTATAATAGTTTGCTATATATATTTTTGGTAAAAATTAGACAAAATAAAAATTTTTCAGCTGTGAGTACCAGTTCATTGGAAATATGATTAACAAAGTTACCAAAAAAATTAAAAAAATTAAGCATTTTGTTATATATATTTAATGCACTTAAGTGTATATTTACGCTTTTTTAAAATAAAAGGAAACATCCATAAAAGGAATCCATCCATCCTGGGCAATCGTTTCATTTAGATTAAGCTGTTCATGGATCGGGAAAGTGGCCAATCGACAAGCGTATTTTTTTGAAGGGAGTGGGAGGAGAATATGCCCTTAACAAGCGGCAAACAAGCCAAGTCCGATGGCTGGAGACATTGTTAATATGTATGTACGTCAACGTTAACTTGGCAATGGCCAAAATGACAAAAGCAGTGGCCGTCGGAAATCGAGGGGATATACATACACATATATATATTTATATAAATATATACCTACGGGAAATGGCAATAAACCTGGCGTAGGCAGCACCTGCATTAAATTATTGATTCGATTTCGCGCGCGGTTCGTTTTCATTGTGGCGAACTTTTTGTCTGAATGAATTGTAGCCGACTGGCATTGTCAAAGTTTGGGTCCACCCTAGACACTCACTTACGCTCACACACATACTTACCTGTCTGTCAGTCTGTCACGTTACTTTTTCAATTTGTGTGTGTGTGTGTGTTTGCGGGGGAGGCTGCCACGCCCAGAAACGGCATAACAATAACAGAAATAACAGCAGCAGACAGGCAGAAATTTATGTGTGCGACGTTGAGCGTTTCCTTTAATACACACACTGAGAGAAATGACTAATAAATATACAAAATAAAACAGTAATTACATTATCTTTTATCCCTATATTTAGTTCATCAATTATTAAGAAACAAGCTTTTACACAAACTTATAAAATCATTCAAACTTCTTCTGAATACAAACTTACAAATCCATAGCATTGACTTTACTGACAAATTTAGGTGTTTATTTAAAAGTACATTAGGTACAACAGTATTTTATTAAGCAATCAATTAAGACTCATATAGAAGCCAATCCTCGATTTAATCTGTCATCATCATTCTGGTGTTCTAATTAACTTTAAGTTACGAATTTCGCTAGGTGTACTTATGTGCACGTATACATATGTTTGGCAAACAAGACATAATCAATCACTTAACCCAAAAACGCACACCAAACGTTCGTTTCAATTAAAGTTTCGTTTTCATTCACTTAGCCTGGGAAAACGAGATGGGGAAAGTTCCAGGAAAATGGAAAAGGCAAGGAAAAAAATAGCAAAATCATTTTATACACTGGACGAAATTGCCCGGGTATTTGTTTTGGTTACAGGCAAATGACGAATGAAAGGAGAAGTGAAAGCACAATGATGAATCATTTAACTTGATATGAATTACTTTAGCAAAATTAATTATCATGATACAGATTGGCTATTTATGATTTTTTTTTTGCCTAATTTACTTATAAATATGATTCTATATTAAGCATTCCCAGAAACCTTTTAATTTTGAAGTCTTTATTTACATTTATGAAATGTTAAAATTAGATTTTATATTGCATTTTTTATTATGGCACTTCTATAATTATTTGCTTTGCATTAAAACACATTATTTGCAGATGTGCTCTTCATCAAAAATAAATTAAACATGAATTTCATTTTTTTGCTTGCGGCAATCAAATATCTCATTGGCAAAAATTAAGCTCAATATCTGTTTGTCTTGTTTTCATTATTGAACAAAGCGTATAAATTAAAGATTGTTTTTGGATTTCAATTTATATATAAGTAAGGGAAATAAATTATTGCTGTAAATGCAATTATTGCTCATTGCTTTTATGTATGACAAAGAGTTTTTCCTTTTTTTTAATTTAAAACAATAATTTGCATATTTAATTAGGTTGTAGTGGGTATGTATTATTTCTTTGTTAAAATTTCTCCATGATTTATTTACCATTAAATTGCATATTATGATAAAAACATACGTTTAATAAATAACCATTATCAAAGAATATATTTAATTTAATTGTTTGGTAGGAATTCATGTCGCAAATTGTAATTTCCTAATTTAATTTCCTAGTAGGTGTTTCTTTTATTTACCATTGCCAATTGAAATTCATATTCATCTTATTTCGAAAGTATTTTTTTTCGCAAGCAAGCCAGGAAATAAAATGGAATAATTTTCGCCGCAACTTTGATTTCACTTTCGTCAAAAACACACACATATATACAGTTGTGGGGTTAGTTGGGCTGAAAGTGGGTGTATTTGGGTGGCTTTTTTTTTGTGGGGCAGTATTTGCTTTATCGCCGCCCGTTCACGACGGAAGCTTTCAATTTCCGCTGGGAGCAGCCGCTTTTCTATATATGGATTGGTTTGGTCGTTTCTGGTCTCGACCAGTTCTTTTCCTTGCATACTTTACCGCGCACATAATACGCATATCATCGGGGTAAAGAAAATCGGGGAAAATCGGGTAAAAGTCGTGGAAAATCGTGGGTGGTGGGGGGTGGGTGTCAAATCAGTGAATCTGTTGCGTACTTTCGCCACTGTTGCTGTAATTGAAGCCATGACGCAAGCGAAACTCGCTTCCAGCGCCATTTCAATGCCTTGCCTCGATATTTTCCTCCATTTTCCCCCAAAAACCCCGCAAGATTACTCGCTCGAAAGTAATTTGTTTTCATACGACACGAAAGTCTGCTCGCGACAAGGATAAGGAAAATTGTAATGCAAAGCGCCAGCGAGGATGTCCTTTAAATGATGACGACCCTAGATGGCAACCAACCCAGATTATCGAGTCGATAATATCGACTGTCAAGCCTTTGAGAGCAAAATAAAGCATATACTCGAACACATAAAACGTATTATAAATAAATAAAATATCAAGAGGCCAAGGGCCACCTGATCTGCACTCAAATCACATTTTGTCACACATTTAGCATAATTTAGCACTTCATTTGCAAGCGCAAAAACCGCGACAGCTGCCTGCGAAAACTTTTCAACATAAACACGCCTCTTTTCTTTTCTTTTATTTTCTTTTTTTCGACCAAAAGATATATGAGGTATGTGGGCTGGCATTAGGTTGCAAAGTGATTATGATGCCCCAGGCGACATGTCAACAGACAGCAAATCCCAAACATAGCTATATAAGCACTGAGAAAAAATTAATGGATAACAATAAAAATAAGTATTAAGCTGAAGATAAATTTCGGGTTATAATTGCCAAATCTATTTTAATATGATACTTAATAACTAAACTTCTTAAAAGTTATTTTGTTAATTAAATATGAGGCTTAAGATTAAATATATACATTCTAGCCTATAAAAGTTAAACCTCATTTTATAAAATAAACTTTAAAAGCACTTACCTATTTGAAAATGTGTTTATATAAGCTAAGGTCAAAATAATTTATTTTATCCTTAGAACATGCATATTTTTATTATGGATTTTTTCTCCGTGTACTCTCCTCTTTTACCAAAAAATTGTCAGGGGCAACAAATTCCACCTGCGATGACACGAATCTCAACATCAAAAGTACACATTTCGTGCGGTTGGTTTACCTTACTTTCACCCACTCCTTCAAAATTCCACACACAAAAAAGTCTGACGAAAGTTTTTGTTCTGCTGAAAGAGCCCAAAATTACAGCCCATATATGATACAATAAATGATTGGATGTGTGATTTATGATTTACTCATGGTTTATGTTTTGTTCTCGTTACAGGTAAATTGAATGGAAAGTTGAGTGGAAAGTGAAAAGTGAAAAGCGATTCAACGATAAGTATT